TTATATATCTTAACTCCAGGCGTCATCTGCTTGCATCTGGCCATCTACAAACCGTATAACAGTGGAAGGTTTCGTCGTCGTGGATATGCACAAACGTCGACCCTCGGCCGGCGCCAAACGCCCTAACAGGATACGCACAAACGGCGGCCAGCGGAAAACGCCTGACCAGGAGACGCGCTAGCGGCGGCCGACGCCGACGACAAACGCGCTAGAATCAGATCAACCGATCGATCCGATCGAGCACGTATTCACGTCCAGAGGCACTGGCCTGGGCTAAAACAACCACCTGCATTGTGGGCTATGGGCTGTTTTAATTCAGTACAACATGTCTAAATTGTTTATTCACGTATGGGCTAATAGTATGGGCTAATAAGGTAATTAGCTGCGGCCATTAGCGTACATATACTGGACTACCTGCTACAAATCGTTGAGGGGGGCGAGACATTGGCAGGGGTCTAGCCCCTGCTCGCCCTTTCCTCTCTCCGCCCCTGCAGATCGACTCACTTAGCCAGCAAAGGAGGTCTCAGCAGCTGCAGCAGCTAGCGGATGATCCAGCATTGGATAGCACCATCCCATCCATGCCGAGAAGCAGCGTGGGTTTCGCCCCGGGCGGCGCAATGCTGGATAGATACCTCGTGGATGACATCATGAAGAACGCTAACTGCGAGCTACACTTCAAAATGAAGAACATATCCATGAAGGTGGCGGATGCCGTTGCTTTTACAAATCCCCCCGAGGCAACCTTCCATTGTAACCGGATTCCAGCGGGCTATGCTCGTGTCTTGGTTGATGAGGTGGTGGACCCATATTCGGGGCTACAGCTTGACATTCCTGGAGGTGACGACGAGCACACATTGGGAGAGGCCATACATCGTGTCATCCTATGGAGAAAGGATTGCATCGTCTTTCGAAGGCCACCGACCCCGTGTCACCTGACTCCTCGTCGAAGTCCGCCACCGAGTCAGCAGACTCCCGCTCCTCCAAGTCCACCAACGCGTGAGGCCACTCCTCCTCCTCCAAGTCCGGCAAAGTGTCAGACCACTCCTCCTCCAAGTCCGACACAGCGTCAGACGTCCACTCCTCCTCCAAGTCCGGCACAACTTCAGGCCACTCCTCCTCCAAGTCTGGCACAGCTTCAGGCCACTCCTCCTCGTCCAACTCAGCCACGTCAGCCGTCTCCGCCGCCTCAGCAATCGCAGAAGAGACACGCCGCAGCTATCGTGCGTAGCGGTACGAGTCGAGGTAGTACAGGAAGTACAGGCGGAGGCAAGCGATATAAATATGGTCCAAGTCTCGCTCCTCTTCCTCAGAGGCCTTACGCCAGGACCGAGGAGCAAACCAATGCCATAGTGCGGGCAGAATTGGACGCCCATTTTGGACCAAAACTGGCAACGCCGCCGAGGGAGAAAGTGCCTGAGGAAAAGGTTGACCACTTCATTCGTATGGCTGCACCACCAGCTCCCAAGCCTGTTGACACAGACTATGAGCGCCACATCAGGAAGTTAAATCGAGCACGTCTACAGAAAGAGGCGACCTCGAGCTCGAGCAAATCAGCTGGCAAAAAATGCGGTAAAACCATTCCCCAGCTGGGAGAACAGGCGGCGCAATCAATCCCCCCACTTGTTGTGCCAACAACACATAAGAGTACACGCGCCCAATATTATTGTTGGCAAACCGTTAACGTTCCCCAGCTGGGCGATGTGGTAATAACCGAGGAGCATATAATGCAGGCTGAAATCCTCAAGATCACTGTTGGACAACTCCTCGAGATCGAGCCCATGCCGACGCTTAGAGAGGAGGAAATAAAATGGAAATATGTCCGGGGCCAACCTTTGGTCAAGCCAGACGAGGTCAAGAAGCTCCCAACGAGAATGTATGAATTGCATCAATGGTACATGAACATTATCAAGATTTCCAATCGAGAGTCCCTCATGGTGAATGTCAAGAAGGATCATTACTACCATGAGAAAGCTGTGGCCGTTGAGTATTCTGAACTGTTTCAGTTATACAATCAAGACGCACTCGACAAATCTATCGTCAGTTGCTATTGTCTGTAAGTAATTTCTTTATGTAATTTAAGTCTCAAGCTAGCTGTAGTGATCCTTTTGATCAATCATTACCTGTAATTATCCTCACTATATTCTTTTATGTGGTATTATGCAGGATGAAGATGTATGAAATGAAAAAAGGTGGACACTATGGCATTGGGTTCATTGACCCAAACACTGTTAATGAATACACATGGAAATTAGATGCATATCATGAAAAAAGTGTAGAGGACATCATGCTAGAGTTCTTAAAGCGTCTCAATAGCAATGAAGATATACTACTTCCTTACAACTTCCAGTGAGTCACACTGTCTTGTACTACAAATTCTCTGTTTTTGCCTACTAGCTAGCTACATGTTTTTGCTTACATATGCCCGCTTAATTAAGACATGCAAACGTGTGTGCATGTAGATTTCACTGGATCTTGTGTATCATTAAAGTTGATGAAGAAACAGTTGAAGTACTGGACTCACTACTCAAAAATAAACTGACTACAACATCTTGTTTGGGATAGTCAACAGGTAATTTCAATCATTATTAACTATATATCTCGGCCTGTTTAGTTCGTCATTTCCTGATATGAACTATTTAATAACCCCTTTATGCATTTTCTTTGTCGGCGGGCAGGGCTTGGGCAAGGTTCATCAGCGTCACTCCAGGCCAATGGAAACGAAGACTGAAATGGTTTCGACCCAAGGTAAGTAATTAAGTAGTACTAGCTAGCTAGCTAGCTGCCATCTCTTTAATTATCATGCTTGATTAATTATTATCTGATCAAATTCCATTCTCGTAAAGGCCCTTGAGCAGGTGCAGGGGACTGATCTGTGTGCATACTGTGTTTGCGAGAACATTCGCATGATGGCGTCCGAAAGAAGCAGATCTCAAAGACAGGAATGGGTACGTTTGTCAAAACACTATTCACAATTTTTACACCATTATCGATATCTAGTCACACAACTAATACACATGCATATTGATCTCCTTCTTAATAGTTCACAGAGGTGCGGGAGAAGCTCCTACCAACGGAGCGCGTAGAAGCACTTCATGAGGAAATAGCGGGATTTTTGCTCGACCAGGTCATAAATCCGAACGGAGAATACTATTACCCGCTACCGCCCCCATGAACCACTTCCAATTGTCATCGTGCTCCGAAGGCACCAATTAGGCTAATGTCACTGGCTCCGAAGGCAACATTATAGGAGAAATTGTATATAGCTAGCTAATTGTGTGTGTGTGTATATATATGTGTGTGTGTGTGTGTGTGCGTGTATGTATGTGTGAATTAATATGGTGGTTTGTGAGACATTTGATGATATATATATGATCGGTTCTACTAGAAATTCTATTTATATATATGCATAAAGTGTACAATGTGTAGTATCGTAAAATACCAGCAAACGAAAAAGAATTAAATAGAAAACACAAAATTAAATAAAAAAGAAATCATAAACCCAAAACCCCCCAACCTTTTAATACCGGTTGGTGTCACCAACCGGTACTAAAGGGCTCCCTGCCCCGGAGCTGGCTCGTGCCACGTGGTTGCCCTTTAGCACCGGTTCGTGCTGAACAGGTACTAGGGGGGGGGGGCTTTAGTGCCGGTTACCGATCCGGCACTAAAGAGCCTTACGAACCGGTGCTATTTCCCGGTTCTGCACTAGTGTCCGCCCGCGAATAAGTGTACATCTAGTTTTTGTTCTAAGTCAAAGTTTTGAAACTTTGACCAATTTTATAGGAAAAAGTAGCAGCATTTATGGCACTAAATTAGTATCACTAGATTTGTTTCGAAATGTATTTTCATAATATATCAATTTGATGTCATATATACTACTACTCTTTTCTAAAAAATTGGTCAAAATTATAAAAATTTGACTTAAAACAAATGATATAAATACACTTACTCGTGAACGGAGGGAGTAGATGACAGATTCATCCATCTAAAAATAGTGGAGGAGATGAAAAAGAAACGATTTGGTGAAGAAGACGTAGAGGCCGGCAGAACTAATCGACGGGGAGTAATTGTGTGGACGATGGCAGATGGGTCTACATGGAAAGATGGAAGCGGAGACGGTTCATTTTTTGTTGCTTACCAAACACACGTGTCATTATGCATGTTGTAGAGTTGCTCATGTGGCACAGATGGCCCACTTGATGATGTGGATAGGCTTCATGTAGAGATAAATATAGTAGTGGGGGTGAACTTCTTAAGTATATAGGATATGCATTTTTTTTTTGTTTTAGTTCATATATCATCAATTCCAATATTCATGTTTTATAAAATCAAATCTCTATAAATATATTGCAACAGATTCCCACAATAATGCGAGAGGTGCCATCTAGTCTAAAACTGTTTTTAGATATCCAAATTTTAGGCTTGCCGTTGGAGATGCTAACCAACAAGCGGTATTACCACCAAAATGATCAATATTAGCTAGATTATCGGCTATTCTATTTTGATCAAGGACTAGTTCCACAAGAGTAAACTTTAGTAATGTCAAGTGATGCTTGATTTCACTCATCAAGTGTCCATAAGCAAATTGATTGAGCGAGTCGTTAAAAATATGTTCATCAAATTAAAAAAATATTAATTCCTTTTGAAATCGCGAACATTTTTCGAATTCAAGAACTGTTTTTGAATTCGGTGAACATTTTTTGGATCCGTGATTCCGAGAATCAGAACTTTTCTCGAAATCTCGAAATAGTTGAGACTCTCTCTCCGAAAAAACAAAAAATGGGAACAGTTGAGGCGCGAAGCAGACGCAACCGGGCCGGGCCTTGGGCCCTATCCAGGCAGCCACGTTTATAACCCGTTCCATGTTCCATGTACCTCGAAAGAAAAAGAAAAAAACGTCCCAATTCCCCACACCCCGCAACCGCGAGCCGAAATCCCTAACCTGTCCCGACCCAACACGCCGCCGCCCCCGCTTCGTCGCCAAGGAACCCGCCGCCGTGTTGATGGCATCGGCGGAGGAGCAAGTCTTCCTTGGATCGAGGAACCTGTCGTATCACAGCGCCCACTACCCCGACGCTAGCGCCGATTGGGATTACCCGGAAGACCCAGGCGACCGGCGGAACGGGGTGGAGGTTGCCGAACTCCATGACCAGCCGGCGCGCATGAGCACCCGTGCGTATATCATGCATCTCCACTCTTCCTCTGTTCATGCCTCACTGGAATTCCTCTTACTGATATTGTTTCCGCCAACTCAATTATTCGTTGATCAAATATTTATTTGTCTATTGTCACCGAGCAGCAGATTCAGATCCATGTGAAGTCGCCAGGCGTGCCTTGGACCTCATGTTCCCGCGGGAGGAGGACAGCGATGACGTCTGGAGCACCTGGAGCGCGCGAGAGGAGGGCAGTGATGACGATGATGAACAAGGTAGTCAATTCTCCCTAGAGATGTTGTTAAGTATCCATAGATCCTTGATTTACATTGATTGATTCTGTAGGAGGGGAAGAAGGCGATGGTAGCACACAGGAGAGCAGCGATTATGAAGACGACGGCGGCAATTGCCAAGTGATACTAGCCGAGACAAACTGTCCAGGTAGCTGCTGATTCTCTCAACAGATGAAACAAAAAATATATATTTATCTGCTGAGCTGTTCTACATCAATTCTTCAGGAAAGCTCTACCCCAAGAGCCAAGCAGATGACATAGATGACAAATGGGTACATAGGTACTCCCAACAGCTTAAAGAACACGAGAAGCTGTGCAGGGAGATTATGGCTCTGCGAGATGATGAAGATGATGATGATGAGGAGGAGGAGGAGGAGAAGGATGATGATGCTCCTTGCCCCGTCTATCCCATGAGAGTGTTCCCTGACGCAACAGGTGTCTGCGTCCTTGGGCTCAACTGCCACCATCGTATCTACAGGACCCATGACACTTCCACCAGTAAGTGCTGTTTGCCATTCGTTCATTCCTAGTAATTAATTCATCTGCCGTTGTGATATACTGACTAGCACAATGCTCGTGCGTTGCTACGAAACCATTAAAAATGAGGAATTACTGGTGTTTTGTGGCTGTTGCATGGTTCACAATTAAAAAGAGTGTGAATATAATAAAAAATCATGCTGCAGTCGCTAAAGAGTCTCGAGCGATTGTAGTAGGTCCTTTGCAAGATTTATAGTCAGATACATTTTGAATTTGGAACACAGGATAATGGGCGTTAGTAAGTTGAATGCACATGATCGTAGATTAGGTAGGAGGACAGCATCTCTCGCCTAATTTGTTTGCCCTCTTCTGCTATGACATAGAACCGAAGAATTGGTTGGGCAGAGAAACTAAAATCAAGGCCATTATTTTGAATTGGAGGCATAGTTGCATTTATAACTTTTGTTTTTACAAGAGTGTTATTCTCACACTAGGGTAGCAGTGTATTTGTTTATTCGGGATAAGTCTCACACCTAGTAAAAGTTACATTTGTTTATTTATGTCTCTTGGAATGTTGCTAGTCCCACATGTGGGTAGTGCACAACTCCAACCTTTATAAGTAGGAAAGATATCTAATTATCTATGTATTTTGTTACCAACTTGCTTTTGTTTTCACTAAAATAATAACTTGCTTTTGTTCTCACTAAATAATTGCAGCCCCATCAACTCTTGGAAAGCGCACACCAAGTTATATGCTACAATTATTCTGCATGCGTCTATCAAGCTTTGAACCCTTGTATCCCATTAGTGTGTATGGAATATTTGCCATTCGGGATTACTTAGACCCGCGACGGAACTACGTCTTTAACCGTCCCAGGGATGACGCTGTCATGATTGAAAAGAAGGTAATTAAGACTTCTTTCCTCCTGAAGATAGTATGCTTGTTTTTCTTTCGGAAATGGTTGATTGATGTATTATTAAAACACTGATATTTATGTCAGTTTGGTTCTTTGATTTGTCTCCTTCATTACTCGCATCTATTAAAAGATGTGTGAGAGGTCAGGTTAATTTGTTTCTCCATGTTCAAAAGGTCTGCTTTTATGTTGTTAAGCATTAGATAGATGATCACATCAAGCCATCATACCAGTTCTCAAAATTGGATATGATTATACTTTTACCACCAACATACAAAACTGGTCATCTTGTTAATATACTTCAATATGGACAATTACTCTATTTCTTTGTCGATTTTTTATTACACATGTGCAATTAAGATGGTTATAACTCCCAATCAGCTGGATAGTAGAGGGGCATTGGGTAATTATTGTGAGGTCCCTAGTGGTAATCTAATCTGATATGTCATAAATGTTGAGCAATTGATAAAACGGACACAGTTGCATTAACTTGCATGTCTTGCATTATGTAAACATATGTAAAAAAAAGCACCCTCAAGATGGGAGTATCACTGAATAGTTGATTTGAACATGTGCAAGTATATCTTACTGAGTTTGTTGTGTTGATACATGCTAATGTATGTGGAAGTGGATATCACTTATTAGTTCTAACAAGCTGTTAAATCCTAGGGTTCCTTTGTCATACCACTTTGTAGCCCTTGTCGAGGAATGTATTTGTTGGATAAGGCTTTAGTAGAAGTTGATCTTTGGGTAAAGAAAGAGGGGGATGAATCAGATGACAAGCAACTACTTTCTGCATATGCTGAGATTGATGTACGGACTGAAGCTGATCTCATGCTTTATGAACGGATTTTTGGTGATAATTGCAATTTGGACTTGAAATATATAGTCCTTTCAGAAAGTGTTGAGGCTGTAATACAAGTATATGCAAAGGTCAGCCATCCTCACCATGTGTTGTTCACTGCTTTTAGCACCGGATATGATAACTATCCTCTTCGTGGGGTTGTGCTGTTTGATGACAAATTATTTGGCGAGAAAAAACTATTCAAGCATGTTGTCGCGGTGACAGCAAATGAAGAACTGCATATTTTTCTAGAAGTGAACGGTTCAGTGTTCAAGTGGACTTTTCAAGATGAACATGTTGGAGCTGTTGTTTCTCCGGATGACTCAATCTTGGACTATGGCCATTTCTTCGTGAGGGTGTTGTTTGCTCCAAAGGATTGTCGGTTAAGCTCAGCTCCAACATTCTAACAGTGTCGCCATTGGTTGAAAGCCTGAAGCTCATGTAAAAGTGTTGTTGCTTTTCTTGGTATTGTATATGAGTAGCAATTGAATTTCTCTTAAGACCTCTTGGAGCATCTCCAATAGATGATGCAAATTTGGACATGTAAAACTGGGTGTGTATAATTTACATAGTCAAAAAGTGCTTTTTACATCTCCAAAAAAGAGCTAACATCAACAGATGTGTATTTGGTGATATAGAACTCTTACTCAAACAGATGATGTATTTGAAGATGTAAAACTAGTTCAACTACTACATCATTTCAAACATAATTCAAACATAGCAAGTTCAACTACTACATCATTTCAAGCATAATTAAACATAGTTCTAACTAAAACATAATTAAACATGGTTTTAATTAAAACCTAAATTAAACATAGTTCAAACTATTACATCCATTAAACTACTGCAGCCAAGATTAAAATCTTCATTTGAAAATCTTCATTTGGAGGATGCTTCATAGCGTTTTAAGATAAACTCGAGCTGCCCTGCTCGTATACCATACCATAGGACACCTATTGTTTGAATGCAAGGCGGTCCCAGATACCATACCATAAGACACCTATTTGTTTGAATGCAAGGCGGTCGACAGGGCAGGTGAAGTGATTTTGGAGTATATGTTGTGCCTTCCAGAGCAAGATGTCCAAGTGCTTGGGCTACCAAAGTTGAAAGAAACAGTGGCGATGACAGCCTGGTACTTATGGTATGAGCGTCGTAAGTTGACACATGGAGAAAAAAAATACAAAACGATGCTCAAATTAATATGGCAGTGAGATATTTAGCAGCTAACTATATTATCTCATACAGTCCTAAGGCCAAGGTGAGACCAGACGCTTGGTTGAAACCAAGATATGGCTATGTTAAGGTAAATGTTGGTGTGGGTTTTGATGTGGACACCCTCCTGTGGCCGGTTGGAGCAGTCATCCGAGACCATCATGGAAAGTTCATTGTAGCTGCAAATGAAAAGATTGATATTTGCTTTGACTCATTCACGACAGAGGCAGTTGCAGTGACGTTTGGCATGAACCTGACATGTATAGTTGGATGTAGTAAGATTCAGGTCAACTCTGATAGTGTGGAGGTTGTTGCTGCCCTAATCGATGGTTACTCTTCCTCGACAGCTTCTGCTATCTTTGATGACTGATATTTTAGGTAGCTTGACTTTACTCATGTCATCTATGATCATTGTAATAGAGAAAGAAATCATGTAGCTCGAGAATTGGCTAGGATAGCTAGATTTTCTCCTCCAAATATCTGGATGTACACCGCCCTGGATGTGCTTATTCCTCTTATTGTAAGCGATGTTATGATCCTTATGAATGAATAAAGGGGGAGATAATTGTAAAAAAAACTACTTGAACTACATCGAAGATGAAACTACTCATCGGAGATCTCGAATTGCTCCCAGAACTCATCCTTGTTGGGGTCGTCACACCCATCCCTCTCCTCCGAGTCACCCCAGTCCGATGAGTCCGACTTGATGGGGATCACCGTCGAGGGCCCGGGCTCGTCCTCCTTCACCCCCTTCTTCTTCTGCTTAGCCTTGCACTTCCAGTAGAACTCGCGCTCGGCCTGGAGATCCGGATGCTCACCGGGAGCAACGTGAATGGTCCTTCGTCCGGAAATTCTCCGGCACGAAACACCGCACTGCCTGGGTCTCAATCTCCGGGAAGTTGAGCGCTAGCGTCGCATTCATGTCGGCCCGGAGCGGACGTGACCTCTCACTGGAGCCAGCACCGAAGTTGCGCAGTAGCCAAGAGCTCCGCCCGAGCCGCGTCCCGGTGTCTGAGCCTTTTTTATGCCGGAGAAACCTGATCGGACGTGAGGCAGCGTCCATGTCCTGATCGAAGTTGAGAAGCATGAGTTTCCCTGCATATGCCATCATGGACATTGTGGACGTGAGGCGGCGTTCAGTGGAGCAGACCAATGGCATGAGATCTAGTATGGTTGGGCGTATAGTACCCATCGGGAGCCCCAAGTATGTGAAGGGCATGGAGCCAACAGCACACCCAAAGATACCAGCAATTGTCGTCGTGAGGTGTTCATCCATGTTGATAGGGATAAGTGTGGACTTGTCGAAGTTAATTTTGAGCCCAGTGGAACATGCATATATAGTCCAATAGGATTTGTTTGATCAGTGCAACTTGTCTTGTGCATGCAGGCGTAGCCAATATAGTGTTGCGTACTGGATAACCGGGTAGTCGTATTGCCCATTTGCAAGGAAGTGTAGATGAATATGTCCAGCTCGAAAGGCATCATTAATCGCGGCTTGAAGGAGGTCTGTGGCAAGAACGAAGATTAGAGGTGACAATGGGTCGCCTTGTTTGACACCACACCGGCAGTGAAATTGGCGATCCTAGATGAAAATATGCATTTGATCCATTTCATCCGTGTGTTTCATAATTTCCATCATTGGTCCATGCTCAATGGTATCGAGTGCCTTGGCAAAATCAAGTTTTAGGAGTACTATTGGTTGCTTCGACGCCTGGCATCAATGAATGTATTGGAACACCCATGCAAGGCAATCTTGTATCGATCTCCCCTTCTGGAAACCATATTGGTTGTTGTATACATTTTGTAGGATGAGTCTTTGAAGGCAATTTGCAAGAAGCCTCGTTATCACCTTTAGGTAGTAGTTGAGAAGTGTGATCCGCCGGTAATCATTGACAGTCTCCGGCGAGACAGTTTTGAGGATTAGAGTGATCAAGTCATCATTGATGCTTTTGTATGTCAAAGGTGCCTGCGTAAAATCGTGCGCAAAGCGTGTAGAATTCTTGTTTAATTATGGGCCAACATGCCTCAAGAAAAGTGCCACTAAAACCATCGGGGCCAGGTGCTCGGTCGGCTGGCATTTCTTTAACGACATCGTCAATTTCAGATTTGGTGAAGGGCACCGTCAGTTGATCAAGATCAGCCACATTCTTTATGAGAGAGTGTAAGTCAAATTTCATTTCAGGGGGGGAGGATGTACCCAGCCGTTCCTTGCAAGTTTGGAAAAGCAACGCTTCTTTGCCATTGACCGTTCAGATCATCGATTGAAATGCCACCAGGTATGGACAGACTTGCAATATTATACTTTTCTATACCTTTTGGTGGACACTGCTTGGAAGAACTTTGCGTTCTCTTTGCCAAACTTGACCAATCGGATCGTGCAACGCTTTCGCCAGTATTGTTTTTGCTATGCCAAGAGCCTCAATAAATGTTTTTTGATGATGTTATGGAAATTAATCTCTGGTCTTGATAGTGCCCTTTTGTTCTCAAGCTCATCCAAATCAGTAAGCACCTTGTTGGAGTTCTCAATGGCAACAGACAATTTAGAGATGTGTTTGCAACATATTCATGTCTAAGGGTCTTCAATTTACGGCTCAGGGCTGTAGCGGCATTAGTTGTGTGGACCGGTTTTGACCAAGCAGTTTGCACCACATCCATAAACCCTGGGTGAAGAACCCAAAATGATTCAAATCTGAAAATCTTACTGTGTGGGATGGTGGTTTCTATATTCACCACGCAAGGAATGTGGTTGAAAACTGGTTTTCCCAAGGGTTTGACCATGGTTTTAGGGTAAACACTTGTCCAATGGAGCAACATGAGAAACCAGTCCAATTCCTTGAGTAACGGGTCTTGCTGCATATTGCTCCATGTGTAGGCCCACCCTTTGATTGGGATTTCAATTAGATTTTGTTTCCGGATGATGTCATTGAAGCGAACATTTCATTACTATTTTTTTAAAATAATACATTTTTTATTAATTTGCACAAATATTACGCCTGATATGTAATTTTCAAAAATAATACATTGTCGGCCCGCTGCTGGCCGACTGGGCCTAGTCGGCCCACAGCAGACCGACTGAAGTCCTATCGGCTTGCTGCTGGCCGATTGGCCTGTCGGCCACCAGTTCAGCTCCTGTCGGCCAGCTGTGGGCCGACTGGCTCCAGTCAACCATCTGTAGGCCGATAGGAGCTAATCGGCCAGCTGTGGGCCGACTGGTGCATGCCACCATTTTTGCCCCCCGTACGATCCCCGCTTATGTCACGGGCCGCCACTTCCCGCCAAATTTTCCCGCTTTGCTCGTTCCCGCCATATTTCCCCGCTTTGCTCGTTCCCGCCAAATTTTCCCGCTTTGCTCGTTCCCGCCATATTTCCACGCTTTGCTTGTTCCCGCCAAATTTTCCCGCTTTGCTCGTTCCCACTCTGTAATTCCCGCCATATTTTCCCGCTCTGTAGTTCCCAACACTATTTCCCGCCAGTATTTCCCGCCATATGTTCCTGCTACCGAGTTCCCACCTTCCTTTGTGCTCTCAACCTATAAAACCCCCTCGGCACTAACGTTGGTAAGCATTCTAGCGTAGTCTCGTAGTCTCGCCAAGATGTCCGGATATCCTTTTGATCGTAGTTTTCACAGTCGTATGTCTGAATGTCTATTGCGTTTAGCTGCTGATTTCAGGGTTGACAAGATATTAGTTCCCTGGGAAGAACTCATCAGTAGTGATACCCTGCTGAATGAGCTTCTGAGGTTGCATGGAAGATACCTAAAGCATGGAAGGTACCTACATTTCGGAGCAAAACATACTTATTTATGGAGTGCCAACAGCGAGGATGAAGACAATATCTTCATGCCGCTGCTTCCAGGTTCTGCATCGTCGAAGGGCAAGAGTTCTTCATCGTCGAAGGGCAAGAGTTCTGCATCGTCGAAGGGCAAGAGTTCCTCATCGTCGAAGGGCAAGAGTTCTTCGTCGTCTAAGAGCAAGAGTTTTGCATCGATGGAGGATGACGATGATGACTTCATGTAGTTTTTATGTTGTATGTTGTAAGTTAAGTCGTATGTACCGTTTAATTTAGATGTACTTCTATGTAGTTGTTTGTACCGTCTTGTTGTACGAGCATTATGTTCTATCTAAATATGATGTTGTAGTTTGGATAACAAAGTACTAAAATAGAGTAGGCATATGTCTCATACATAAGTACATAG